GGAATTATCGCTCCTTGGGGTCCCAGCAACTCAACAACCTGAACATTGTTGGACCTTCTGTCCCCCATGCTACATCGCCCTGCTGGTGGTTAATCATTTTGGTTCTCACCTTCCCAAAACTGCCTTTCCCAATGGCTCGCAAAATTTCAAAGTGGTCGAAGTTGACTGTAAAACAACAAAAAGAACAACATCATAAGTGATCATCGGTTGCTCTTCATTAGCTAATAAATAATAAACGAAGCTTGAGCTAAACTGAAGTACCTTGTTTGAAACAACACATCAGACTACCTTACAATGCCAATTTATTCACACGGTAAAGATGTACTGAACATTTATTATGTATTAATCACAGCACTTGGTGCTGGATACGGTCATAATAAAGTAAAAATAGAATCTCCACCGTTATGGAGCCTAGTCTGGTCTAGTGACGGCTCTATAAAGACAGAGACTCTCATGGACTACACAGTCACAGAAATAAGTGGAATTAAAGTTCCTAGTGAATGTTAAGGAGAAAAGAGGTCACGGAGCTCTAATAACATATCACAGGGGGTTTGGCACAGGCATGAAGGTCAGCAGAAACATCTCTGAACACAGAACAACTGCCAAGAGATCTGGTCCTAGGATCAGCGCTTTAAAAATCTTTTTCCTGCTTATTTTCTCACTACAGCCACTCTTGTGTATCTAAGTAATTTCAATTTTCCTAAATAGAAAACTATTACGCTCATAAGTTTATAACATGAGCTAATTTCCAAGGTAGAAATATCTAACAGATTAGGATGTACTGTTTAGACAGGAGTCCACTGAATGGTGCTTTCAAGTTGAGATGATCATTTCCACATTTGCAACTTTAAAATTCAGCTCCTAGAAGTAAGATGCAGTAGATGTTGAGTTTCTCAGTGGCATAGTCTCTTGGGTCAATGCTCATGAAATGCTTGGTGTTGAGAAGAATAAAGGATTCTCCCTAGGAGGTGACAATCTTTCGTTTCTTGCCTTGGTAACCTTGAGAAAATGTTTGACTTTATTTGCTGTTTTTTTGAAATAAGGATTTAGATGAGTAAAATTCCAAATGACAGATTTTAAGAGTTTATTCAGAAAAGATTGTGAAACACTAGAAGTTACCGCTGGTCTCTTTAAAAGACCTAGTGTGTCTCTTTTTAAAAGAATAATTTGATTGGCTTCTCCTGAAGGAAAAAGAGAAAGACAAGGGGACTCTTAAGGTCTTTCTGATCTTTCTGAGGGCTCAACATTTTTATGGTATGACCTAATCATGACTTCCTCTTCTGAACTCCCTAGTCACTTAATTTCTAGCATAAAAACCACTCGGTCATGTGAGGCAATATGTATATTACAAATAACCCTGTATTTGGACTCAAAATAATGGAGTGACTTGAAATAAATAACAAACTCTCCAAGCCTCCATTTTTTTCATCTATAAAAATGGGACTGACCCTCCTACATAAGAAGAAAGCACCTTTTACCCAGAAATTGCTAATAAATCTGCTTACTTAACATAGTTATTCTAATGAATGACATCTTCCCAAACTCCTTCAATTCTGACTTTATTTCATCCACTAAAGCATTAGCTCTGTGAGGGCAGAGGTGATATATCATTTTGCTCACCCTGGCTTCCCCGCCACCTCAGAAAATTCCTGACTTAGGTAGCTGAAAACATAACTCTTTTCCCACAAAACCTAGTACAGTGACTTACACGTGGCTGGTTCTTAGCAAATAAACCAAACTAAGCTATAAGGATACCACAAGAACCTCAAAATAATTGCTTCTTATAAATATGGGCAGTATGAACATTTGGGTCCTCTAAGGCAATGTTTTTCGAACTGTGAGTCAAAACCCATTAACGAGTTATAAAATAAATTTCAAAAGCAGAAGAAGCAATAAAAATTAAGTGTATGTAATCCTAGCACTCTGGGAGGCAGAGGCGGGAGGACTGCTTCAGGCCAGGAGTTTGAGACCCCATCTCTACCAAAAAAAGAAAAGAAAAAAGAAAAATTAGCTGGGCATGGTGGTGTACACCTATAGTCCCAACTACTTGGGAGGCGGAGGCAGGAGGATCACTTGAGCCCAGGAGTTTGAGGTTGAGCTATGATGATGATGGCACTGCATTGTGCCCCAGGTGACAGAGCAAGACTCTGTCTCAAAAAAAGAAAAAAATTAAGTGGAATAGAAGATACCAGAAATGCATCAAATGTAGTAAGAATAGTATTGCTGCTGAAACTCTGCAGTTTTATATATGTGTTTAATATGTACTAGGTCATGATATAATTTTTTGGTGTATTTTTTACCTTGGATTATGGTCAAAATAATTTTAAAAAACTTCTGTAAGTTTTCTCTTGAGTTGCATACTGAAATAACCAAAACAATGGTTTCCTTACACATTACATGAGTCTGAGTTATGTGTTATTTACCATGAGAATGTTAAAAAAAAGAAAAAAACTCACTGGGATTTATTTGCAGGTCTAAGATTTTATCTTGAGCAAATCCAATAACTCACTGCATTTCTCCCCTAGAAGTCTAGGCTAGAATGCTGTGATGACATTTTGAATCTCCAGCATACAGCAGGTGCCTAGAAAGCATGAAGTTCCATTGTGATATTAATCCATTTTAAGAACCATGTCCTTTTATAAAACATTTTAAGCTTTAATGAAAATGATAAAGGAATACATGTCAGGTTCCTGGTAAATTTATACTAGCAGAACTCACTAAATTAATGTGACCTCCCAAATGTCAGTTCTCAGAAAAGTGACAGGCCTAAAGAAAATGCATCTT